TTATATCATATTATATCTTATTATCTATTTTATCGAATCTAACTATATCTAACTCGTCAAAATTATGATAATGATATATTGTTTGTCCATTTGTTGACCCTGGCCCTTTCGCGCAGCATGTACGTAAGTGGGACCCTTTCGCAAGGCGTGTCGAAGCCAAGCGTGCAGTGTGTCAGTCTGACTTTCTGATGTCCCGATGAGGTACAGTATCGGATTTTTCTTGTCCTGATATAAGCGGATATAATCTTGGGACAGAAAGATGTGTATATATTTATATACTTATATATACATCAGAATATTATGTCATGTAATGTCGATATATATATATATATACACATGCAAGTGATATGATATGATATGAAATGATATGATATGATATGATACGGGTTGGTCTGAAAATTCCTACGGGAAACGCCCTTAAATCCCAAGGTTCCAGGGTTTTCCATGGTATTTTCCCCATTTGATGGACTTGGGGATGGTGATCCATGTTGATCCAATGACGGTGTTGGAAACCTTGGTTCCGGGGGAGTTACGTTACGTGCTGTATGACTTTTTTTTGGACATACCCTCTGGGAAACTAACATAGCTATTGAACGTGGCCATAGAAATAGTGGATTTACCCAGCTATAAAATGGTGATTTTCCATAGTTACGTTAGTTTACCAGAGGATATCATGGGAGGATGCGCGGAAATTGCGTATTTTTCCGAGCCATCCAGATTTGCATGGTCGTTTTGTTGCATGGTCGTTTTGCAAACACCACATTTTGCTTTGAGCATGTTTGAGTCGCACAGCCCCAAAAATGGCTTGAACCTCACCCAAACATATTAGATCATATTAGTATATCAATTTATATCATGAGTGCCATGGTCAAAGATTGGATAAAAACAAGCAATCCATGGGAGGATTGTCATACCGAGATGGTCGGGGGATGACCTTAAAGGGTGACAAAGGGTGACCTCATCGGCGGCGGTTTTTGCGACGTCGCTAATCGCTGTTGAAAATGCGAAGGCGGAACAGAAGTCCAGCCATGGCCATGGCCGGAGTCCAGCCCGCTGGGTTACATTTTGGCCCATCTATTTCGGCCACTTTCGGCCTTTCGGCGCACTGGAGGCCACAGGCTGGAATCTGCGGACAGATGTGCCGCAGACAGTTCGGACCCCTCGATGGATTCGATGGCGGTCCCAGTTTCGCCAAGGAGAGAAGTCTCCTCGGGCGCTCGGGCGCTCGGGTTGAGGTGGCCTCTGAAGCTCAATGAGTACCCATTTGAGTGTGCAAAAATCAATAACAAACACAAAGACATGTACAACATTTGGAAGGCTTGAATTACAAAAGTCCGTAAAACATGGTTTTTGATGATGCATGATGACAAATTTGGAGTACGGATGAGTACGGTTGATTATTGACTCATCAGTTTAGCAGCTACTCCCCTGCGGACTTGAGTGAATGCTAAGAAGCGTCTGTGCAAAATTGGGAGGATGCCATTTTAGCAGCAAATCAATAAAAAAAAGTCCTAATGAATCAACGGGGTGAGTCTGAATCTATTCAACCATCCAAGGTACTAAAACTGGTAGATTATCCCGGTGATTGCTTGCCCAGATAAGGGAACTGGACACTGATGTTTAAGCAACGGCCATGACGTTTTTTTTTTTCACGGGAGACTGCCCATCGTAAGCCGCTCAGAGACCAGGCCCTTCTGGAAATTTCTTCCATCGCTAATTTACAGCCAGGGATGATGGGAAGGATTGGGATAGTGGGATCATCCCTGATCGGCCCAGCGCAATAAAGGGCGCGATGCCGCGGCAGATCCCCCCACCCAAGGAATGTCTTCGGGGTGGCAAACTGTGAACCCCACAGTGCTAATACAACGTACGCGCTATAAATTTCGAAAGGCTTTCGTTGAGTTCTGCTGGACCTTGCTGGACCTTGCTGGACCTGGACTGAATTTGTCGATCCAAAAAATTAGTGTCGCTCAACATTGACATCTCTGGTGACTGCTACGCTACTTACCGCTACTTTGTATTTCTGAACTGAAATCAAAAAATGGAACAAGTGTCTGGACACGATGTAGGGCCAATATACCCAAACTTGTACAACTACCCTAAAAAAACAATCCTTTTACCTTCTGACTGGAGGAATCTGGGAGGAATCTGGCAGAACCCGACCTTCCCCAATAATAGCGGATCCATCGACAGCGGCGTTGCTGAACTTGTGATTTGGGCCCTGGCGAAGCGACTCAGATGACTAGGTCCGGTATGACTAGGTGATTGTTTTGATAGACGTTGAGGGGAAGATACATCCCCCAGTTTTCTCCCCTTTTTGGCAGGTGATGAAACATTCTTGGCCCAAAAAAATATAATGGTGGCTTGACGGCAGAGAAACCGCTGACGTGTCTGGACAACGGCTTATGAAATGGATTGCCCCTATAAACGCGACATGGATTTTGCAGATTCTAAAAATCCCAAACAACCAGAAAGAAACATAAGAAACAGGTTTGTCTGACCCCAAATTCCATGATTAATCAGCAATTTCATTCCAAATGGAGAATTTTGCATATGAATTATATCATTTTCCAACAATATCCTATTATGGTTAACCATTAAATACCCATTGTATTATATCCTATTAATAGCAATGGAGCCTGACTGAAATGGGCCCCAAGTCACCATGATTTGGGGTAACCCCTATAACTTAGGAACCCCTATAGAATATGTTAATATGTTCCATCAATCACCACGATGAACCATGAAAATCACCACCATGAAAATCACCAACATCAACCATCATTCTCCACCATGAAGCACCATGATACGGGACTTAAATAATATCCCTATGCTGTCCATCATCTCCTTGAAGTCATCTTCCGGGTCATTTCGCCAAGTGCGACAAGCCGAATTTCGGCGACGCTTTCGACCGGGAAACAAAAAAAGGGAAGTCGAGACAGCCACCTTTTCAACAGGGGGATGAACCTTAAAAATCAGGGTCGTTTCTACACTTTGAATGTCCACTGAATTGGCGATAGTATGGGAAATAAATGATCAATAAATGGCATATCACCCAATTTGGAGAAATTTGGAGCTTTCCAAAGTTAGCCCAAAGTGATCCTCCAGTTTATTGGGCACTGACATCAGTGGGTTTTCCCCAATTCTTACCCCAATGACTTGAGCACTTCTCTGAGTCACGCTTTGGTTGCTAGGTTAAAATGCCAGTTTTTGTGCGAATATTCCTGGAGAGCACAGACTCAGAAGTTTAGACTTGGCAAATTTGCAAGGTTTTAGACTTGGCCATGTTATGACTTATGGTAACAGAGAGAAATGTCACCAATGGTGATCATCGCTTTCTGCTTGGGCTGCGGAGCGTAGTAGTTCGGAAGTTCATACTTTTTCCAAACTTGCCAATTCAAGAAGGTTCTGACGTGACTCTACCCTCTGGTAAACTAACATAGCTATGGAAAATCACCATTTTTAATGGGAAAATCCACTATAACTGGCCATTTTCAATAGCTATGTTAAATTACCGGAGGGTATGTGATATTCCGTGAAATCTGCGGCCTCACCCTGGCGAGATCTGCCCTAATTTTTTTCGGCGTGTCGACCTTCCCCGTGGCGGGAATCGAAGACTTTGTGCCCGCCGCTGCACCCAATTCGCGACCGAGGAAACGCCTCGGGCAGCTGAATTCGTGTGGTTGGCGCTCTGTCAGTACTGCCTGATGTGACGATCATCTTCCATAAGTGTAGAATCAAGCTGATGATATTGGGAAATTCCATGGGCTTCCCAAGTTAATTTTCGGGGTAACCCCAAATCATCCTCAATTCGACTATTTTGGTATTGAACCCCATGAGCGAAATCACCACAAGTTGCTGTCGCAGATGGTACAGTATTTATAGCCAGCAATTTGGGTGTTTCAAAACGCAGGAGGCTTTTGAATCACAGTGATAAAACATTCTCCATTTCTTCTTTGAACAGTCAATTTCAGGGTTCCCTACTTGCCAAGTTGGATTGTGCGCGGTGAGTTTGAAGGTTTTTCCGTAGCTTGATGCAGGTCGACAGGAGATGTCATGAGTAGTTTCCAGCATTTTCTAGTAGCGCTAACTGCAGCACCGACCATTTGGCTCTGGGGTTCACCCTGGTGCGATCAGGGCTGGACGTAAGGTGCCGGCAGATGTTGAGCTTGACTTCAGTCCCTCCTGACTTTGGGACAATGATGGGTCAAAGTTGTGCCAAGCAGCTAGCCTCTGGCGCAAAAAATCCAATGACGAACGGAGTGAACGGAGGATTTATGCAGACAAAAATTATCTTTCAATATCTTTCAACTCTTCTGGAATGGGGATTTCAGATGATTTCAGCAGTTGAACAAGGGGGATTACACCAAGACCATGGAGCATTTGATTGCTGGAGGCGCCAGGTGCAGGTAGATCCACCATGGAAATCGCTGGGGATGGGTCGTTTGTTGCCTATGAAATTACTACTGGGTGAATCAACATCCAACCAGCTATGACTGGGTGGCTATCATCCGGGGAACCCCCCCGGTGACTCACAGACAGCCATATGATCGAAGGGGTGCTATCAGGCTCATTTTGCTTGATCTGTGGCTATAAAACTCTATGAACCCCTATGAAACTATCATGGAACGCTAAATTTTACAGGCTTTGGAACATTATTTTCATGCACCTGAGAAAAGTATACATGTTCAGTCCATTACTGCCAGATAAGACAATGTCCCATATCATCTTGGTTAAATCATATCTTCCCATATGTTCACCATTTTTCCCAATGAGTGGTGATTTCTGTTGACCAAACCAGGCACAAGCTTCACCTCTAAGGACATCCGGGGTGGCTAACGCCAAACAACCAATCACATCAAAAATCACCAAATCACCAGAAATCCAGAAACATCAATTAACATCAACTCAAAAATCGCCAAATGGAGGTTGAACGGGACATCATCTATGGATTCTATGGATGTGGGAGATGGCCATCTGGAACCAACCAACCAACCAAGGCCGAACTCCCGGATCCCGGCCTGGGCAGAGCGTCCCTAGTGCCCTGGCAGTTTGATTTTTCCTGGGAATGGAATGGAATGTCATCCCAACTGTTACTTGTCATACTCCATGATTTTTCGGGGTAGCTATACCACCAACCAGTGAATAGTTGAATTATTTTTGACTGTTGAATTGAGTAGTAGTTGAGGGAATTTCAAGAATGATATTGAGTTGAATATCTGTTGAATTGAACTGTTGAAGATCTGTTGACCGTCGAACTAAGCTGCTGATGGATTTTTGACATAAGACAGGACCTGAATCTATAGTGAGGATTCAGTATTTGTGACGCACTGATTATTGTAGTGAGGACTTTGAGACTATAAGATTTCAGACAGACTTGGTTGGAAGCATGGTGGCATCACAGGGTGAAACACCCTGCCAGGTTCATTTGGCTTTGTCTGAAACAGGCTACCTTCAGATGAGTCACACTTGAAAATCTCATTTACACATGAAGATAACTTAGATAACATTAGATAACCATAGATAACATAAAAATTGAGATTTTCAAGTGTACATATCACCATCCAAAAAACTGAGATTTTCAGAGTCAGCATAAAAATGGAGATTTTCACACCTCAAAATGGACAGATCCAGATGCTTTTCCAACGATCCCGATCCCATGTTGCCGAGGCCCGTAGAAACGAGAAGGGCCAGGGCCAGCAGGGCCAGCGTCATGGAGGCTGCCTATCGGATAACCGTTGTATTGGGGTGAGAAGCTTCCCCCTAATGTCTAATAATCAAACTAAATACTTCAAAAACAACAACTCCACATCAAATCCATTTCAAAATCGAAGAAACATCCCAAAATTGACATCTAATTAGACTCTTGCCCAAAATTGGATTCGGAAGCTTTCCCCAAAGATGAAAAAAAACGACCTTTTGAAACAACTAAAACTATTGTCAGGGAACCTAATAATAACCCCTCCAACCAACTAGTTTTATTCTCAAGGGGTGAAACCCATTGAAACCCTCAAATGGGACCTTGATTTCTAAATTGGTTTCTGAAAGGTGCTCAAGTCAAATCTCATTCACCGGCCTGAAATGGTCCAAATTTTTTCAAAAAATGGGAGACAGTAATAGGGGGAAGGGATGAAGCCGGATTGTCATCTAAGGCCTGGAATTTATCCCCTGATTTGTCCATATTTTTTATGGCGGATAGGCTGCTATTTTCGAAAAACCCCGCGTCGGAAACTCGACAAATGTACAGTAAATTATCTTTAGGGCTTCTTTGGGGTTAATTTCGGTGTACGATTCAGGAGTTTAAATTTCTAATTTCATGGCATGGTTTCCGATTCCATGGCGTAGTTTTCTTACTTCCGGATTCACGGTTTTTAGTTTTCGAAAAAAAACAACTTTCATGGGGAAAATGAGCGTCAACCATCGGAATGAGACAAGCCCATGGTGGGACCCCAAGTTGCTCGGAAGACATCTTCGTGGGTTACATGAAGCAAAGCGCGCACACCTGGAGATGTACTCAAGCACTGAAGATTCTGGGTAGAGCATGATAGTGTTCAACATGGAGCAAGAATTGGAAAAAAAGAATCCCGGACGGTTTTTTTTTTAACCTGTGCTGAAAACATCACATTTTGGTCATTGTTTGGAGTGGGGGGGTACCCCCTTGCATCATCCAGTCGTCATGGATGTGACCCCCGTAAACCTACGATGACGACTGGGGATACCCCCAGTCATTGATCAAGAGCTTAGGCATGGTGATCCACCACATTGCATTGACGTTCCATGATCCATATGTTTTTTAATTATTAGTTGCTAAAGAATGATGAACCAATGATTTCAACAAGATGTTTTTTTGCAACCATTCCCCCTTGTCACCACCAGTTGAATGTTTTCCAAAATGGGTCCTAAACAATTCACCATTTTTTGTGTGAGCATCAGCGTTGCCAAACAATGACTAAGCTCTAATATGGTGTTTGAAAGGTCAACAAAAAGGCGTCCTTTTTGGTGATCGGCTCCGCCAACAAAACTCCCGAGTTCGAAAAATGGGATTTTCATGGGAAAAACATCTTACTCTGATTGGTTGTTTGGAACATTTTTTATTTTCCATTTCATATATGGGATGTCATCATTCCAACTGACTTTCACTCCATGGAAAATTTTGCATCAAACCATGTTTGGAGGCTACCCCAAAATGGGATGGTTCTTTTGGGCCCAAAAAAGAAGGAACCGAACGAAGTTAGTCACCCAACCCGTTGGCGACGTCCTGGCGATTTTCCATGAAAAATTGGAGGCTCTGACATCATCGATGTTGCTGAAACAATCTATTTGAGATGTCCTGAAACGGCAAAAACGGAATATAAGATAATATCACATGTTCCTTCATGCGGGGGAATGTCATGTGATTGCTGGGTATCACTCTCATTTTTGTTAGCTATATACCCCTGTGATATCCCATCCACCTCACAGTAAATCTCGTGTATGGGCCCCCAAATGTAGAGATTTAGCATATTTAGGCTCCAATACCTTCTGATATACAGCCTCTTTACATCGGAAAAATCACTACACTGTTTCAAATTTCACATTTCAGAAGGTATTAAGTTATATAAATATATATTTATATAAATATAGTATTATATATAATATTATATATATAAATATAATATTATATATAAATAATATTATATATATAAATATGTATAAATAAATAAATAAATAAAAATATATATATATAATATTATATTTATATACATACATAAATATAGATAGCATGATATAGTTGAGATACCCCCATTTCAGATGTAAGGATGCCCTCAAAATCACCATCTTGGGCCATCGCGACGTGCGAGGTTCCTCAGTCGGGTGGCCTAGTTTTTTGCCAGCGGTGAGGGGGATCCACTGTCAGCCTGCAACCCTGGGTCTAACATGGATGTGGAAAAGCCATAGTTTCCTGTTTGGAATAGTGAATAGTGGGTGATAAGGTGATAAGTGATATACATATATATATATTTATTTATTTATACAGTGTGAATCTTTCTGTCATCTGCACCTTGATGTAACTTCAGTCCTTGGAACCCATGTGATCTTCCTCGGGTCCGCCGAGATATCGGATCTTGGGAGCCCCAAAATGTGAAGGCCCGGAGTGAAACATCCCGTGACTGTTGAGCTGTTGAATCTGTGCAGGGCAAAGGAAGCGAGGCAAGCAGGGCAAGCAGGGCTAGCAGGGCTAGCAGGGTGAGAGCTGGGCAACGGATTTCCGCAGCGAATTGGATTCCAATAGTCCCCCCTGATCAGTGCCAACTTTCAACAGACATGGAGATTTCAGCAGCGATGTGCCATCCAGGGATGGTCATCATCCATTAGGGATGAACATTTTCGACCATTTCTTTGATAGCGCCAGGGATTAAAAAATACCAGGACTTTTATGTCATTCACAGCAACATGGATTTCAAACAAACAATGATCAGATATGATCAGATGATATGTGTCAAAGTGAACATGGAATAACATGGGATAACCTCCCAAGTGACGATCATTGGACCATCACCATGTCTTTTTTCGGGGAGTGTCCCACCATAAACCTCCAGCTCCTGTCCCGTGAGGTGTCACGGAAGTCGAGGCCGGGTTGTGGAATCCAAGAGGAAGGGCCCGAGATGAGTTGGTTTGCAACTGGCCTACTCTGGTTTCTAATATATATATATATATTAGGGAATTTTAGGGAATTTTAGGGAATTTTAGGGCATGATGACGATGATGATGATGATGATGATGACGATGGTGATGATGACGATGGTGATGATGACGACGACGACGATGATGATGATGGTGATGACGATGATGACGACGATGGTGATGGTGATGGTGACGATGACGACGACGATGATGATGCACGATGCATGATGCATGATACATGATACATGATCATATCTTTGCAGTAATGCCCGGAAAACTAGAAAACTAGAAAACCGACTAACAAACCGACTAACAAACCTGCGGGGACCCTGATATATAGATGATGATTATGGTGATGATGATTGTGGTGATGATGTTTGTGGTGATGATGATTATGGTGACGATGATGACGATGATGACGATGATGACGATGATGACGATGGTGATGATGATGACGATGATGACGATGATGAGGATGATGACGATGATGACGATGGTGATGATGATAGCGATGATGAAGATGATGACGACGATGATGATATATGATACATGATGCATATGATGCATATGATGATGATGATGATGATGGTGGTGGTGATGATGATGACGATGATGAAAACGATGATGGTGATCATGATGACGATGATGATGGTGATGATGATGATGATGACGATGGTGATGGTGATGATGATGATGATGACGATGGTGTTGGTGATGATGATGATGATGACGACGATGACGATGGTGATGGTGATGATGATGACGATGATGGCGATGGTGATGGTGATGATGATGATGATGATGACGATGATGATTATACATGATACATGATACATGATGCAGATGAGGATGATGACGACGACAACGATGATGATGATGTTGATGATGATGATGATGACACATGACACATGATACATGATGCAGATGATGATGACGATGATGATGATGGTGATGATGATGATGGTGATGGTGATGATGACGATGATGACGTTGGTGATGGTGATCATGATGATGATGACGATGATGACAATGGTGATGGTGATGATGATGGTGATGACGACGATGATGACGATGGTGATGGTGATGGTGATGGTGGTGATGATGATGATGATGATGATGACGAGGACGACGACGACGACGATGATGATGACGATGGTGATGGTGATGGTGATGACGATGGTGATGGTGATGGTGATGATGACGACGACGTCGACGACGATGATGATCATGATGATGATGATGATGATGATGATGATGATGATGATGCACGATGCATGATACATGATGCATGATCATATCTTTGTAGTAATCCCCGGAAAAATAGAAAACAACTATTCCCGCGAAAATCGTGCTAAATCACCTTTCTATCTGGGGGTTGCTATATAGCTTTGTAAACCGACCAACAAACCTGCGGGGGCCCTGAATGAAAGGACTCCGAGCAAAGGCTGGGGCACCCAAGGCGCAGGGGGACCGCGGAGACATTTTTTCCGATTTGTTTGAGGATAAAGCGATAAACCCCTGGAATTCTGGATATGTTGGGGATATTGGGTTTTTTTTGAGGAGAAACCATTGGATGGAGGGTGCCGCATTGTGTTTGGAACTCACAAAAGTGGTCGAGGTCACTGGGTACACCATTCGCGGTGGCGGAGCCCCATAGATGGTTCGCAGGAAGAATCAGGTTTGTGAGTGATTGTGGTCCCCCAAAAAATGGTGAAAACCTTACGGTTCAGCACTGTTAATCCCAAAATTGAAGTGTTCAATACTGCCAGTGAGCCTTGTCTGTCAGTCAATCCATCAGGGGAGAAGGATTTCTTTTGACCCAACCACGTTGGCTTATTTCTTGCCAAATCAACCCAAGCAATATGGTTTCCCACATCTCAAAGTTTGAGCCATAGCCACGGAGTTCGTCAGAGTTTCCCAACATTTGGACTTGGGAGAACATGGTTTTTTCTTGCTGGATAAGCTGGATCTGGCAATTTTTGAGGTTCCATGTCAATGAGTATGGCATTTGGGATGGTTCATTACCATGGTAAAGATACGATTTTCCATGGTCTCGTCAAAAAACGGTGACCCCTCCACACCGGCGGATGTTTGCCAGAGCTATGGGCCTATGTGGACCCCCGGGGCAAGATCCAGGCGGAACGAGAAGTGAAAGCTTGGGATGGATCAAATAGGATCCACCACCCTCAAATTGATCATGTCTATGGGTAATGTCAACCCCGGATTGATAAAAAATGGTTTATTAATTAGGAGGGTACTCCTCCAATAGTCATAGTCTGATACTTAAATGGTACCCTCCCAATTAAACAGCCTAGAGGTTTATTAATCCAGGTTGACATTATAAACCATCAATCACTGGGTGGTTTGTTGTTGTTGTTGTTTTACAAGCGTTACAGGACATAGGTAAAAGACGACTGGGTTTTGTCGAACCAACCATTTTTCCCAAAAGCATCTCCGATGCTTGGGTTCTTGTTTAGTTGCACTCGCCGCGGGGGAGCGAGACTGAGTGGTCGACGGAGATGTGTTGGATGGAAGGAAGGAAGGAAGGAAAAGGAAGGAAGGAAAAGGAAGGAAAAGGAAGGAAAAGGAAGGAAGGAAAAGGAAGGAAGGAAAAGGAAGGAAAAGGAAGGAAAAGGAAGGAAAAGGAAGGAAAAGGAAGGAAAAGGAAGGAAAAGGAAGGAAAAGGAAGGAAAAGGAAGGAAGGAAAAGGAAGAAAGGAAAAGGAAGGAAGGAAAAGGAAGGAAGGAAAAGGAAGGAAGGAAAAGGAAGGAAGGAAAAGGAAGGAAGAGGAAGGAAGGAACAGGAAGGAAGGAAAAGGAAGGAAGGAAAAGGAAGGAAGGAAAAGGAAGGAAGGAAAAGGAAGGAAGGAAAAGGAAGGAAGGAAAAGGAAGGAAGGAAAAGGAAGGAAGGAAAAGGAAGGAAGGAAAAGGAAGGAAGGAAACGGAAGGAAGGAAAAGGAAGGAAGGAAAAGGAAGGAAGGAAAAGGAAGGAAGGAAAAAAAGGAAGGAAGGAAGGAAGGAAAAGGAAGGAAGGAAAAGGAAGGA